GGGTATTTTCATAAACAAGTTTTTTTTTTTAAATAGAGTTCGGACAAGGCCGAGGATGACACGTAGCGCTTGGTCAATCGATACGCGCTGCGAAGACCGCAAGACATGCGCGCATGCAAGCGGCAGACTCGACGACCTGTGCGGTCATCGCGTCCGAATTAAGCCTTGTGCAGAACCACAAAGCTGTGGTCACCAACCCCCCCACACCCCTGAGCCCCCTGGCTCAGAGCTAGCAGATGGGCATCAGACGGCAAAGCCGACCCCATCATTGCCCAGGGCTGCCGGCCGGCGTCCGACCTTGAGGTGGGTGGATGCCCTCTCTCCCTACCAACCATCCCCATGTCCACCCTCGCCCATCTGCCAGTAGCCTGGGTCTAGTTACTCCCCGTCCCCACTTCCGCACGTGCATGTCTGTGTTTTGCCTACACCGTTAGATCGAATGATCACGCAAGATGTTGGCAGTGGAATCCTAAGGCCTGTGCATGAATGGAGTATTTGCATTAGCACTTTGCCCTGAGCAGGTTTAAACACAGTCCATTATTATTAAAAAAAAATTCTTGCTCAAATGAGCATGGAGGTGCTGCTCATCTCCTGTAGTGGAAATTCTACATTCCTTTGGTGAGAGGGCAAGTCCATCGATTGGATAACCACTATTATCTTCCCAATAATTTTATTGACCCCGGGGGGATGCTGGACTGAGTCAACCCAAACCAGGATTTGAGCTCCAACCTTGTGTTTGCATTCCACTCTATCGTTGAGGAATCAAAACCGTTCATGAATTGGAAGAATCCTGGCCTCGTACGGTTGTTGCCTGCAGTGTTTTTCATTTGCCAGCCACCCTCGTATGACGAGGGAGATAGATTTTATTAATATTCAGTGCCTAATACGTATGCGGGAGAGAGGCCAAAATAAGTTCATCCAGGCCCTAGGGAACAGTCTTAAGTCTCACAAACCCCAGCCCTAACTCCAATCATAACAACCCCTTCCCACGTTTCCCACTCATGAGTTTAACCAAACCCGGTCAGGAGGGGCCAGGTGTCGTATCCAACCAAAGCCGCTGTCCGACGAACAGAGAATGCGAGCCCAACTTCAGAAGATCACCGAGTTGCAATTGGACGTTTACAAAGCAGGCAATGCGTTTGTGTTGACGTGAGTACCAGAAATAATGTGGCCGTTTGGTCGAAGGGAACCTGCCGATGGCAAGAGTTCATCCGGTGAGCCGGCACTCACAACCGCGTGCCGCACAACACGTGCCCTACTTTGCATGGTGGGGCCATGTGGCAGCGTTCGCATATCCCCTCGGACCGCGAGCCCCAGTCCCGTGATCACTCACTTGATCGGTAGCGACGTGGGCGCGCGGCACTGCGCCGAAATGTCGACGGAAAAAACAACCACGACCCTTGAATAAATTATGAAAGCGTGGGTCTAATTATCAGTCACTTCTGCGTTGCACATGCAAAATTATGAAATGCTGAAGCGTGGATGTTACGAGATTGATTTATTGGATGGATGGATGGGGTCAAAGTGTGCGTTTTTTTTCTCAATGTGAGCCGGCACCATGGGGAGTCTCAGCGTTGGTGCGTTTTTCGAGTCGTCTGGTCTATCCTGTGGTGTCTCAGCTCCCGAAGCGAGCTGGGCGTTCTGACGATATCGGGGCCTGTCACCCTGTGCGGTCGATGGAACAGGTTTTATAATTGATGGGTTTTGTTAATTAAGTCACGCCTCGGCGAAGATGAGAGTGTTCTTGCAGCACCCATTGTGAAAGCAGACTGCATTTATTAAATGCAAATTGTGGGATTTTATCAGGTTAAATGCTGGATTAAACTGGGTGCTCATGAGTACCTAAAAACACGTTACACAAATTCACATTTGTAGGATGTAAAGACGCTGTTTCGAGCGGACGTTTTAGGGGTTAACATAGCCCAGCGGGAGTGCATGCCGCTTGTTGCTGAGGTTCACATTTAGAATCCTGCAACCGCCCTGGTGAATACTGCAGGCGTATTAATCACGAGACGTTACGCGCTATCTGCTTCACGGCGGACGTTAAAAGTTGTCACATTAAAAATGAGTGACATTGTTGACTGACGTCATGCTCCAAATTTGCCGATTTTTTTAATTCACCCGCAAACGACTAAATTGAGAAGATACATAGCAACATTGCCCCCTTCTGAGATAGTATTGCAGGCTGCGAAACATATCACCGTTGTGATAGCTTTGCACGTTAAGAACAGCGTGAATACCAAATGCACTTAAAATATTAGATTTTATCTCCTCCAGCTGCCGTGTTCACACCTTGGGGGTGAACAAGGCAGCTGGAGTTGAACCAGGAGTGTGAGTTTTGACGCTGCCAGGATAAACCAACTCATTGTTAGGCGAGGGGGTGGGGGGGGTAATATATTTTTTTTTATTTCCAGGTTCACCCAAGGCCCTGGCCAAATGTGACGATCATTGAAGAGGCAGCAGCACATGAAGCATTGCTGCCTTGCCTCCTTCCCAGGACCATTATTCTGAGTGCTTTTTCCATCTGACTCTCGCTCACAATGGGACGGTGCAAATGTGTCAATTTGTCACGTGTAAATCTGAAAGAGCGGCACAATGATCCTATGAGCGTTTCGGCGCTGACGCCGTGTAATAGCGCCGCTCCTGATGGACAACATCTCGGCGCAGATTTGCGCTCTAGTTGAAAGCGCCACGTTTTTCCACGATCCATCCCGCGCGTTGTGCAGAAATCAAAGTCGTTCTGACGGTGTCCGCTTGGCGTGTCACGATGCATCGATGCGTTCAGTATGAAAGTAGATTCTCATGCATCGAATCGAGTATGCAACAACCAACGTGTCACTTTGTGATGGGTGGATGTGACCCATTCGGCCACTAGAGGTGCTGTGCTACCATAACTTCAAGTTTAAACCATATCATGTATTCTGGAATCTAATAATGAGCCTAATGATTTGTAAAAATTCTGAAAGGTGAATCGTCTCATCCCTAGTGTTTATGAATGAATGACTTGAAAGTCAGAGTTAAAGTGACTACTTGCTTAAATTAGCATAAAGGCAGTGCTCAACTCCTGTTTACAGCCGAGAGCGGAAAATGTTTCCAAAGGACAACCGCTGTTGATTTTCCTACAAAGTGACCCCTTGGTCAACAACCCAACCAAGATTTCTACTCGCAACCTTCCGATTTAGAGCCGATCGCCCTTCCGTTGTGCGACCTGGCCAAGTTAATTACTTACAATTCATGCAAATTATATGTGCAATGATGTACTGCAATAACATTTAGGCTCACGAAGGAAACAGAAGGAAGAAAATCAGATGGCAATGCCCGTTGTGCGCACAGCATTTCACTTTGCGTTTTGCCTCTCTCATTTTACCCGCTGGGTGAACCATGGACGGGGTGTGGTCGTGGTTTTGCCGTCAAGTCGCCACGCGCTGGCATTCTTAATGAGCGGTGCCAGCGCCTGATGACCATTTTACATTGCGGTTACATTCACTCTTGAGCAGCGATGGCAGCCGCACCCCCTGACACACACACACATCATTACCGGTGTGTGCCATTGTCGAGGTGAGTTGCGATCCCGGGGTGCTTGGGAGAGGGGTGGGGGGGGCACCTGTTTGAGGCCCCTCCGTCTTTTAAATCACGTCCCAGCCATAAACGAGCGAGAGCGGTGCGCCAGTCACGCTGGTGCTGGACGATGCTCCCCAGGGGATGGGTGCCATGAGAGGTGAGTTTCGGCAGCTGGAACGAGCAGACGGGGGGAGGGGGGGGAGGTGGGAGGGTGGGCGTTCTGTGTAATCGCAACGTCGAATTGCTGGCGCCCTTGGAACGAGACAAAAACGACGACCACCTGGTGCTGAGCCTGAGGCCGCTGACCACCTCTGCTGGTGCGGCTCAGAGGCGCGTAGGGGTGGTAAGTGGGGAATGGGACGGGAAGTCGGGTGCCGCAATCAGGGAGGCGATTGTGCTTGGCAGATGTTGCCGGGATTAGTCTGGCGGTCTGCTCGAGGAACTGGCGGATGAAGCCGTCGTCACGGCGACTAGGGTGGTCACGTGGGCCCGTCGCCATGGTGCTGCCTGGCGTACGTTTTGCGGCGAGCAAGAGTCGCCATGGTTACCATTACCTCATCGGGGCACGCGGGGGGGGGGTGGGAGGGGGGTGGTGACAGTGTGTTCTCGCCGAGGACGGATGAGAATGTTTTATAAAACGGAGAGTGGAGGCACATGATCGTGACCTTGAAAAGATGGGCAACGTAACAGCGGGGTAAAGGACCGGCGTTCGTTAGCGGCACGTGCGACGGCTCGAGCCGACGGAGCCATGTAAGTATCGGAAGGGGCCTCGCCGGCCGTGGCGCCTCCCAGACCTCGCCTCGTTTAATTTTCCTCCTCGCTCCCAAGTGGCATCGCGTTTGTGTGCTCCTGCACGGAATTCTCGAAACATGATGTTCTTAATTGAGAAGCTATCCACAGAGCCACGCGTTTGGCGGTTCCCCACTTGGCATTCGTAGATTGCAGCAATTTATATACATTCGGTTTATATATATAACTCTAATGCTTGAGTATATATAGAAGCAGCTGGGTACACGAACTGTGATGAGTCAGACTTGGATGTTATCTCGACATGTGCTGTCTGCTGTGATCTCTGTGTTGGGTGTGTGTCACCGTGTGCGTCCATGTGCGTTTCATCTTGTGTGTTTGTGTGTTGTGAGGAGCAGAACTAGAGTGCTCCATACACAGCACTAGGCTCTGGGAGACTTGAGTTTTATTCTAGGCCGCTATGCACATCGGTTGCATGTGGTGGTATCTAAACCGGTCTTGGACCTTCCCTCGGTCGAATTAAATACTCAATGCGTGAATATCGGAATTGACTAAACAACGCGGGCAGGCTTGGTACTGGCCCCACCACCCCCTCGTGCACCACATCCAGCCTAATATTCGCTCACGACAACGGCACTTGCTCCTACACATTTGTGAGGCCGCCTCGGCGTTCTTTGTCTCTGTCTTTGCAGGCCTGAGGCTGGCAATAGGCATGCATCCCCTCCCCTGGAGGTTGCCCCACCGGCCGCCTCCACCTCCCGGCCGACCGACATTCCCCTGCTGCCCGAGGGCCCAGCCCCGGCCCACGTGGCGGCCCCCCTCCTCGAGGAGGCTCCTTCCCGCTCGGTGGCGGTCACGGCGGCAGCAGCTCCGACCCCTCCCCTCGCGGACACCCCTTCGTGTGGAACGGCCCCCGTCCACGGGCCTACCCCGTCACCCCCGGCGGTGACTCCGCCGCTGCCCATGGCCGCGCCGCCCTCGCACCAGGAGGAGATCTTGGGCTCGGACGACGAGGAGCAGGAGGACCCCAATGACTACTGCAAAGGTTGGTCTCACCGGCGGCAAACTAGCCAGTCGCACTGCCGTGCACCCCCCTCCTCTTGTGCGTGGCGAGCATTGCGGCGTCTCGTTTCTGGACTTTAATCAAAAATGCGTTTGATGCCCTGAGATGAAACCGTGTCGCTCGGAAGCCGGGAGTAGGGACGAGCGCTGCTGTTGCTGCTGCTCCACGGGGGGGTTTTGCGGAGATGTGAACGAGCAGCTCAGTGTCCCTGCTCTCGGCACTGCTGGTTTGATGGATGTCAAGAGGACGGTGGGCCCAGAGCCCTGAATGAAGTGTGTGCGTACATGTTCGTGATGGCTTTCGTGGGGTGTGTGTGCGTCTGTCTTTTTGTGTGTTTGGAAGTGCATGTATTTTGAACTTATTTTGCATTGCACGTAGCCAACCGCGCTAACCAGAGGTGCGGGGGAAGGACAACATACTAAAGACACAAATCACTTGTAAATTAGTTTTAAACATATATTTTCAATCTAGGTGGGGAGTCTGTGTGTGTAAATGTGCATGTGTGCTTGATTCCCGCTCACGGCTAACATGGGTGACAAATACCTTAACCGGTTCTGGACTTCCCTTGGTCGATTCAGCCTCATGAGTACCTGGTTTGTTATGTAAACATTAGCATAGGGGAGACAAAGGCCACCATGCGTGGTGCTGGCCACCCATCCCCTCCCCGTCGTGTGCCCTGCCAGCGTTCATAGATGCTCACTAAGAGGACTTGCCCCAATAGTCTGTTAAAGGCTCCAAGGGGGATCTTTGCCTTTTTTTCTCTCTCTTTGTTTACGCATGTGTGTATGCGAATATTCGCACGTGTGTGCGCGAGCGTATGTGTACGCGTGTTTATACGTGTGTGCGTGCACTCATGGCGCAGGGGGCTACCACGCAGTGAAGATCGGAGATCTCTTCAATGGGCGCTACCACGTGGTGCGCAAGCTGGGCTGGGGCCACTTCTCCACGGTGTGGCTGTGCTGGGACATGATGTGAGTGGCTTCCACGCGAGAGTTCACATGATCCCGTGTGTAAGTGAGCAGTGGTGCATTTCAGCACCAATTATGGCGAGCGGTCTCAAGGCCATGAAGAGCCCTCCGTATTACCGTTCTTCGCGTAGGGTGCTGGGCTGCCGGTGCGACGCCTTCGTTCTTGGGGTTGTTTCAAGTGGAATCCTAGGTGTTAAGTTTTTTAACGGCCGGCATGTCAGCCTGCGCATGGGGCGACACCCTCTCATTAGCATTCAGGCTCGAGCCTTCCCTTAAAGGGCCCTACTGGAGATGATTCACTTCTCGGCACTGTCGGTGACACCGCTGTCGCACATTACATGAGTTTAACATAATTTAATTTAAGCGGCACAATGACCGAGCGGAGCGAGAATGGAAGCAGAGTGGGAATTATATTTTCGGCAACTGTCACTTTTGTGAAAATGGATGTCGTGGTAATGGGCCATTTCTGAAGAAGGCAGCGGAGAGCTTGGAGACGGGACCATGTGCCCGGATCTTTAGCTGGCGGCAAAATGCGCCGCATGATACGGCGTCCAAACAAAGCAGTGCCTCCCACGCAGAGCATGTGCACACACACGCTGGTGCAGCGGAAGCACTCAGAGCAAGCTGCAGCCAACCGCACCTCCAATTAGCGCGGTTGGCTACGTATGGTGCGAAAGAAGTTTAACTTACAAGGAGATGCTGCTCTCCGTCTAGAGGGAGAGAACCGGGGGGGGGGGGGGTAGGTGAAGTGGATAGTGTCCCTCTCCCCACCGGATTTGGGAGGCGATGGAGGGTGGTGATGTCGCCACCTGGGTAGTCCTCGGGGTCTGGCTTCTATTTGTGTGCCATAGAAGCGGTTGTGCACTGCAGGCCGCTAATGGGAAGGGTACGCGTGCGACTTGCTAATCCGCGGCAAGACCCGCAGCTCCGCGAAAAGTCGGTGTGAAGCCGCAGAGGTGGAATTTTAAAGAGATGATTTCTCTAAATTTAAAACTGGTGATTCTTCTGCTCCTGAGAGTTCCAAGCCGATTTTGTGTGTGTATACAGGAGTGGGTGGGGGGGGGGAGTTATATAACGAGAGCCATGGTTAATTTGCGGAGTCGCCGGTGGCGGAGGAGGTGGAACGGCGAGCAGTCAGACGTCAACGCGATTGCAAACGGAATATTCCCGCTTGCCCACGCGCAGGGCGGAGGGGTGGGGGTGGTGGGGTGCAGCGCAATATCCCGATGGCGTGGGGGTGTGGCAGTGATGGTGTGAGCGGAGAGCGCCCCGCTAAGCTGTACCACACAGCGAGGCTGCAGCGGTGTGAAGCTCCAGCAAGCCAAACGGGGTCTGTGGTGGCCCCGGGGTGTACAGGAGGGGGCGGCGGGGGGGGGGTGTTATTAGGATAAAGCTTTAGAGAGAGAAAGATGCACATTTTCGCAGCAGTAATTGGCACAGGCGGGGGTGATTTGCTCATAAGTCGGAGGCCGCTCGACAGCTGGTGCCTCTGTAACGCTTGCTCTGCGCCGGCTTACGCAGGGGCAAGCGGTTCGTGGCCATGAAGGTGGTGAAGAGTGCGCAGCACTACACGGAGACGGCGCTCGACGAAATCAAGCTACTGAAATGCGTGAGTGATGGCAGCACCATCATCGACTCTAGCTCGTGCGCGTCACACTTGTGCGCACACGCCTACGCACGCACACACAGATGGCAACGAGACACGGGTAGTGCACAGCGTTATCAGACGTGGAGAATATTAAAAGGAGAGCTGCGATCTCTCATTTCTGTTGTGACATGGAGCAGTGTCACAGTGGTCAGCCCTTTGCACTATGCACCCAATGACCTGAGGTCAATTACTGGCCACGGTTAACATGTGCGGCGCAGTATCTCTGAACCACCTCCCTCGCCCTTAACCAACTCATACGAACCAGCTAAATGAGGTATGCAGCCTGCCTGACTGACGGTGGATTGACAAAAGGCGGATGAAGTATATATTTTTTATATATATCTTATGCTCGTGTGGCTATCACTGTAGCAGTGGTGTGGGAGGCCATGGGATGAGCCGCCTGTCGGTATCCCGTGATCCTGATTGTATGGGTGCCGCTTCCCCTGCCGCCGAGCAGGTGGTATACTCTGGCTTGCCAGGAGAAGGCGGTACAGCAAAGTGCGGACTAATTTCGTCTGTCCCTTCTGCATGGGCTCGAGTGTTGCCCCCTCACGAGTGTGGGCTTTGTCCGGATGCTCCAGTTTGCTCTCAACATCTAAGCATTAATTCGCTGAAGAAAACACCTTTATATATAAAGGACTGCAGAGCTTGGGCAGTTGTTGGTAGCGCCAGTTCACCGCCTGGCTGCTGCCTTCCAGCGTGTCTGTGGTTCGTCGGCGATTGTGAGATGCGATTTTCATGAACGATAACGCGGTATGTCAAACTAGACATTGTTATTATTCGGCTATATTGCTTCCTGCTGCATGCAGGAAGTAGCTTAGGTGCGGGACAACAAAAGCAGCACAATGGAGAAGGCACAGCTGCATGAGGCCATATGGTCGGTTACAACTTAAAAGCACCGCAGGGCGCAGCTCACTAATTGGGAAGCTCATTACTGAAAAGCTGTCCACAAAATGAGAGTGATTCGACAGGAATATGATTGTGTATCCACACTTGAGGCTCGTTTCAAGCCTATTTCTCCAATTTTATCCCGATTGTGCTTTCGGCATTTTATTATGAGACCAAGAATCGATGTGGAGCAGTGCAACCCTTAGTCTTAGAGAACAGCCCACCGAAGTGGACACTATGGAGTTACCTCTGACAATTCCTTCAAGTAAACTCTGGTCTCCACATATTAGCAGGCAATATTTTTTTCGTTAGCCCCTTCATCGTTAGCCATGCTACTGTGAAACCGATATTATTATGTCTTAAAGCTGGAATGTATCCAATTTAAGTGCAGAACCAAATTTTACGTAATGGGTTTTTTTTGTGGAGTCGCTCGTGGTCTGGCTACAGTTGAGAACCTGGTTTAACCACAGGCAGCTGCCTGGATGTGAACTCGGGGTCTCAGCAGTTCGGCTCAGCGTTCTGACCTCTTGCGGCCACGCAGTCAACTCAACCAGAAATTTTTTTAAAAACGTAGCCTGGTTGCAAGAAGCAGCTTTAGGAGCCAGACAAACAGCAGCATGCGCACAAGGAGGGAAACGTGCTTCCAGAGTTCAATGAAGCCCATCGTTGTGAATCTGCGGGCGTGAGATAATTGAGGGTCGGTCGCCGTGTGTCGCCGTCTCGCGACACAGGTGCGGGACAGCGACCCGTGCGACTCGAACCGTGACATGGTGGTCAACCTCCTGGACGACTTCAAGATCACGGGCGTCAACGGCACGCGTATCCTTGACACTACCGCCACGCGGGCGTTTCCAGCCAGGGCTTCACTTTTCACTCGGTATTTTATGGGTCACCAACTCAGACAGACCCAGGTGACGTTCAGCCCATGTCCCCGCCACCTTGCGGATAGGCATCGCTGAGGTACACACGCGGGGTGTCATCAGAGAAATGTGCAGACGGCCTTTGCACGACGTCGCCCATTTTTTTTATATTTTCAGGGAAGAAAAAATGTTACTAAAGAGCTCCCTATTAATTACCTAATGAATGTTGCATTTTTTAAAGTTATAATCTCTATGTACAGTGTCCTATCTCAAAGACGTTGGTGATCATGGCCTTCGTTACATTTACCTCAGTCCATGATATTACTCAAGAATGTGGAATTACAAACTCCCAGATGCATCCAATTTTACAAATTGCTTTTGTAACTTAATTCTCTATCTTTCCCGGCTTCGTGTACTTATATTTTTATCACTAAAGATACATTTAATACTTTCATTATAAAACACTTTCTTGTGGATATACAATCAAATTTGTTTTCCTCACATGAGTGACTTTGAAAAACTACTTGACCCCTCTGAAATGTTAGCTGGCTGCGCCAGTAGCAACCGTAGAAAGTACTTCTGTATGCAGCCATTTAGGCATCAGAGTGGTTTCTCTGTGACATTCGCTGGCTGAGGGAGCGGGCAGCCCAAGTGGCATTTTAAATATTGTAATTGGAAGTCGAGGCCCGGTGGTCCGACAGGCGAGCGAAGGTTGAACGCTGGAAGGTGGTGGAGCCTTGACAAGACCCGCAGACGTGTGCATGGTGTTTGAGGTTCTCGGTCACCACCTGCTCAAGTGGATCATCAAGTCGAGCTACCAGGCCTACCCACGCCGTGCGTGAGGAGCATCATTCACCAGGTAGGGCAGCCCCTGTTCCCGTGTGTCTGCGCGTGCCCGCGAGCTTCCACCACAAAGCTACCGCGAGAAGGCGCAGGGCCTCGTGTTGGAGAATTCCCATTATTAATTCGTCTCATTTTGTGTGAAAATGTCCCGATGCCTGCATCACTGACTCCGAGGAAAATCGCCAGAGCGATGTGATTTGGTCATGGTGTGAATTTGGCCCTAAATGTCCTGTGGTTAATGGAGGCACAGGTTTGCAATGAAGGTTGCATGACATGCTCTGTGTAAAGTTATGAACGCATTGGCGAAGAAGCTATCTATGCAGTGGTTGGTGCATCGCTGTCTGAACCCAGTGACCTGTGTTAGATTTTCGACCACGGTGTTTATTGATATCTGAACCGGTCCTGGAATCCTCTGACTTTCACCAACCCACATTGACCAGAGTGGTGACGTTTTTGCCAAACAACGCACACAACAGGGAGGCATTCATCCAGCAGTGGATTGACAAATAACTCTTTAAAACATGTAATATTTGATTGCGTATGCCTTGGAGAAATGCCACTAAGGCTGCTGTGCGAAGTGTTAACGCGCGTGCAAATTATTTATCATCTGCATTCAAACTGCACTGTCTTTTCTGACTGTCGCATGCAGTTGATCGTAGCGAAATAATTAAAACATTCCCAACTCCTGCAGGAGCGAATCCTCAGGAAGTGCTCATACTGGGTGATGGCATCAAGTGATGAGAGAGAATGCAGCCCATACCCACCCACCCACTTGGCGCTAAATAAAATGTGCCGCAGCAAATTACTTTATGACGGACGCAGAACATTTCTGGTTGTTATGGCAGCATTATCTGCAGGGACCGGCTTGTTAACCGTCACACGTGGACCAATCCGACCGTGTTTAATAGTATCCGTGCAAAATATTGCTCAGCTCACAGGGAGCTCTGTGGGAGGCGGGAGGGGGGAGATTGTCATCGTGTGATAGACAGGCTAAATGGATTTTTATGGGGGCTGTTGCACGGCGCTGGTCGTTTTTCTCCGTCAATGTCACCGTCCACTAGAGATTCGTTATCCACAACTATAGCAATAGCTGTGAGCGCCACGGAATGTGGTGCACAAAGAGTTTTGAGATGGGTACTATGTGCCCGCTGCTCTCACTTCACTACCATTGTCCGTTATCCATAAGCCTCACTGTTTTTTGTGCACCTGGTGGATTTTTTTTTACTTGGGCTGTTGTGTGGGTTTGGCTGTTTCTACCCTGATAATAGCCAGCAATTTAATTTTGCTGGGAAGAATTGGTGTCGGCCAGGTCTCCTGTAAGAGCTTGGGGTCTGCCCGTGACCCGGAGTTGTGTGTGGACACGGAGTAACAGCATGCGATGGTCACAGGGACATAGAAATCCATGGAGCAGCCTTTCTGTTTAATCCTTTTCGGCTTTCCTATTCATAATGGAATAGAATATTTACAATTTTCACAAACAATATCAACAGCCACGTACCATTTAATAAGATAACCTTGTCCTGGCACCTCTTGTCAAAATAAGAATGCTCTTATTTAGGATACATGGCTGTTGCTATTAATTAAGGAACACACATGTTTTAGGTCAGAATTAGGATGCTGTTGTGATGCGATGATCAGCACACTGAACTTGCAATCCAGAGATCATCAGTTCCATCTCCCGGCACAGCAGTTGAAACAATGGTGCACGTTTCTGAAATGCCCCCTCCGCTGTCCACTCGATGATACAACTGGGTATGCTGCATTAAAGTCGATCGACAGGTTGCGTGTGGTGGGGTAAAGTGTCAGTCCCCGCACGTCTTCTGCCAGTAATGGTGTGAGCAATTGTAGGGCTGCAACCTTGATCTTTTAGACGAATACAAAATCTTGTTCAACACCACTGTATAAAAGGACCTTGTCTTTCCCTTACCGATAGATTGAAATGTCACTGCTATTGTTGTATAAACGGTTGTGAAAACAGGTGGCACTTTGGAAGTATTTTCTAAATCTGCCGTCGTCAACGCTGCTGTTTCATGAGAATGGGCACAGTTAACGGCAGGTGCCCGTGGAGGCCAGAAGGGGGCACCAGCGTGTCCTAGAACATTGGTCAACACCAGGGTTGCGATTTCCGCACCAATTTCCGCAAACATGCTGTTTTAGACCGCATTTTGCGGTAGTTTCTGTGACCCTCTTCCGCACAAATTTCCGCAATTTGCGGTGATTCCTGTGAAGACTTCCGCAAATCGTGACTTCGATTCCCGCCTTTCTCGGTGCCGTACTCGCGCGGTTGGCGCACATATCTTGCGTATGCCCATTTGGCTCTGCTGACTTCTGGAAAAAACGATATGTATATATGAACTATGGATTCCTGCATTCAGACAGCGTTGTTGGTGCGCACGAACTGTGAAAAAATCAATGAGAGCCGCGAGCTCTTGTGCGTCGAAGTACTTGTCGATGCCGTCGATGAAGCACACTTGCCACAAGTACACGACGCCACCGTTGACATGTTTGTCGCCGATAGGAATCCCTACGGTTGCATCTTTCCGGATCGACGCAACCCCCGGCGCTGTGCTCAGGCCCTTTTGCCCAGCCCCATGATGTCTCCTAGCATCTGCCATTCGGAGCCCTCGCAGTACTCGTAGCGACAAAGGAAAAACAAAAAACTGTAGCATTTTCTTTATTCATATTCTGTCGATATGCAAAACTATTCATCGTCGCTCAGATTGCAGCGCGTTGGGAAATCCACTGGTAATTTTGGCCAAGCGCTCAGATACCCACGCTGTTTTCGATACGCTCAGATACACACGCGTTTCCGCTCAGGTAATATCCTCGTCCAGCGTACGCTCATTTGCCTCTGTCGTAGCTACTTTATACCTCCTGCGAATATATACACTTTACTGCTAACGATTAAAACTTTGGCGCACAGGTCGGTCGGCTGTGAGAGGGCTTTCTCTCTGCAAAACAACATCAAGCCCGAGGAGTGGTTGCTCCTCTCGTGCAAGCAGTTGAACGCGCTTATAGTTTGCGCCCGCGACAAGCCAAAACTCAGCATCTTTCACGCCGAAGACGACATGAAGCGCTGGAAGAATGCGAAGAAGTGAAAGTACATGTGCTCGTAATCACGGCTCCGCATTTGAATAAAGTATGTGGTTCTTGTGCGGAAATGCGGAAATCATATATTCATTCTAATCAGTAACTCAAAGCCCTACGTGATGCTGGGCCTTGCATGTATCCTTTCCAATAGAACGCATTAACGTGTTGTTAAAAGCGCGCGGTCATAGGAGTAGTCTTTCCACCAGTTTGCGGTTGACTTTAGCAAAAATGCGGGAAAATTTGAACCCTCCTTCCGCATTTTCCATGCGGAAATCGCAACCCTGGTCAACACACTATTTCTGGCATAAGGTATTCCAACGGTTTTAAGGTACTGATTCCAACGGTTGTAAGGTACTGATTTCAAATCTGGCATCAGTTTTTGTCTATCACAGGGGTCGGCAACCTACGGCTCCGGAGCCGCATGAGGCTCTTTACGGGCTGCTTCTTGACGATATGTACGTATGTACAGTATGTACTCAGATGCATTGCGGCTCTTGAAATACTGAATTTTGTACCAAATTGGAAAGAAATGGCTCTTCTTGTTATTTTGGTTGCCGACCCCTGGTCTATCACATCAGGTTTTTGAGATATCAAATATTGCATTTTCAATAAAAACTGCAGAAGAAAAATATGAAATAAATGTGGATATCTACATGAAATTATATTATAAACACACTATCCTAAAAACACAGCACCATATTTTAACACTAAAGCAGTCACTGACTCGCAACAACTTGCAATCATAAGTAACAGAGTTAATTTCGGGTAAAATCAATGAAAATGGGGTATGCCGATAGCATAAAAATGAGATGTGATAGAGCAAATCTGAGGATCAGATTTGGAATCAGCACCCTGAAATTAGTCTAAAACAGCTGCAAAAGTCCAGGCCAGAAAAAAATGTTTTTTTTTTTGTTGACCAGTGGAATCGTTCTGCCAGCGCCGCCCAGCCGCGGGGGACCGTTTCCATTAGCAGACTCGATTGATCGCTCCCTCTTAGCTCCAGTGCATCACTGCTGCACATTGTCGTCATTGTTGTCGTTATAACACCGGACCATTGTCCGTTCTTTCACGCCTCACCTGATTTCTCGCGTGCGTTGTCATTTGTGCTTTTCAGAGTCAAATTGAAGCCCTTGTTTAAATCTCGACTTTGTTAATAGACTGACTGCAGCTTGCCTGCATTGCCACTTTGTCAGCCGGTCCTGCATGGGAATTACAACCAGGGCTCAATCACAGCCGGGTCTGTCCGGGTTATCAACCCGGAAAATATTTCTGTGCACCCAGCACACAACATCCAGTACAGTAAAAACTTGGATTGCGAGCATTATTCGTTCTGGAAACGTGTTTGTAATCCAAAACACTCGTATATCAGTTGTGATCACGTGATACTCGGCAGACAAAGCATATACACGTACTACTCGTATTGCAAGACCTCGCTGGTTTATCAAATTAATATTTATTTAAAAATGTGCTCGTCTTGCAAAACACTCGCAGACCAAGTTACTCGCAATCCAAGGTTTTCCTGTATATCTTTCACTACGGTTGTGGCCACTAGTCACGTGCTACCGACTCCAGTCTAACAGCGACTCGGTAAGTATTTACTAGAGAAATTAGGCTCAGCCTGCGAAGTTCACGAAGCGTGGTGAGTTTGGCCCCCCGACAACAAATTGCAATAATGTCACGAAGCGGGGTGTGGCATTTGGCCTAACATTCACACAGGCGTGGATGGTTGTGCTACACGTTGGTATTGTGTTTGTCGATGGCGCTTGCAGTTTTATTTCGGGTAATGTCAGTGGGTGGGAGGCTGAAGCCTGAACTGTTGGTCTCATGCTGCACCCCCCCTGTGGTCTATGCCGGAATCAAGCATGGCGTCGGTGTTTAGCTTTACATTAAAGGGCCCTTGGCTCCCTGCAGGCCAAGGGTGCTCGTCAATCACAATTAATTGTTTGTCTTTGCGCCCGTGCCGTTCTGTTCCGTGGTTCACTGTGCGCACACGTGGGAGGTGCGAGCTGTGTGAGTTTCATGCTGATTGACTTCCTTTATTGGAAATTAAATGAACCGGGTCGCCCACGTAAACTACAGAGGTGGGATCCATGCTGCGAGGTTTTGTTTGCACCTCTTAATTAAGCAGCCCGTGGTGGGGTTGTACTCAATTAAGACGGTAGTTTGTTATTAATCTCACTCGTGACCCTCGTTAACCTCACGATCGCTCCTACAGTCTCGTCTCTGCTGATGCTATGATGGCATTTATCTCCAAGTGGCTCCGTCAGTGTCTTCTTACAGAATATTGTGTTGTTAGCCAGCTATTTTAGATGCACATGTGGCCACTGTGGCACTGCAACTTCAAATGCCGTTGCTTCGAGATTTTTCCATAATTCCGCTGTGGAATAAGTTTGTCCAGCCTCATCGTCAGCTGCCATGTGAAGATCGATGGTCATCATTGAACCGTTAGCCCCAAAACTGGCTTATTGGTACCAGCTAGGGTGGCAAATGCGTTAGGGTTCGTGTTGTGTTTGAAAATTGTATCACAGATCACAAATACGCTTGACAGCATTGTTACCATGGTATCTTTTTATTAGAAAAATGCCATTAAATGGGTGCCGTAGTATGTTTGATAGCAAAATATGATTTTGGGAGGGGAAGAAAATAAATATATTAATATTTTGACAAGAAACACGCATGGAATAAGATAAATATTATGCCGGTCTACAAAACAGATAGTATAAAAAGTCTAAGCTTAACGCTCGTGGTGAATACTGGTAGCATCTGCCATCCCCGGGGGGGGTGTACCGACCAACCCCCTTGACTCATGGTGGGGCTAAACGGAATAAAAGAGAGACAGATTGCGCTTGTGACCGATACGTGGTCTCCCCCCCCCCACACACCGCTTGCACGTGTGACCATGTGCGCAGGTGCTGCAGGGCCTGGACTACTTGCACACCAAGTGCAAGATCATCCACACGGACATCAAACCCGAGAACATCCTGCTGTGCGTGGATGATGCGTACGTGCGGCGCATGGCCGCCGAGGCCACACAGTGGCAGCAGCAGGGGGCACCGCCCCCCTCCGGATCTGCGGGTGAGCAGCACACTCTGCTCGGCATCACTCATGCAGGCGGGGCGGGGCGGGGCGGGGGGGGGGGGGGGGGGGGGGGTGTTTGCTCTGAAAAAACGTCCCGTGTGATAGGAACGCAAGGGAGCTGCTTTAAACCGGTGGAAGATTTTGCGTTAGAACTTGAGTTCTGAATGGAATTGGCCACTTGGAGTTTGTTTTTTTTACTTTTGGCTGTGTTCAGCAACCACAAATAAATTCTAACAGTGGAAATTAAATGGAATGGAAGTAAAAATGGGCATGACCAGTAAATAAATGTGGGTCGGGGGGGGGGGCGATACAGTCCTTGGGTATTGGTCGGCGCTTGTGGGAACGAGGTCCCTAAACACACCAGTCTTGTCATGGCCTTGTACGCTAATATGTAATCTGAAATAAATCCAGGGCACCTGTGAAAATGACATGGTTCACCTAATATTGTTTCTCTTAGCTAAATATTAACAGGAAATATGATTCATTATTTGGTTTATTTTGGGTTAGATCATGTAGGTTTAAGGTAATTTTTTTTACTATAGACTCTCCACCACCAACAGAACCAAGCGGATTAAGTTGATTTGGTTTTTAAGCAAAACCAGTCATCATTTTGACATTTTTGTTGTATGACGTTTCGATAGCATTTACATCCAGCATCATTGGGTGCTCATATTAAAAATACAGTCTTTATTCCCTCTTTCTCTCTTGGATGTGTTCTTATCAGGTCATAGCACCGTGTGTTGTCCGGCACGATGCCCGACGTTTCGCTCTTGTAGAGCGAAACGCCAAACATCGCGCCGTACAACACGTGGCACAACCCAAAAACACATTGGAGAGCTATGCAGCAGCACGACCGCGACATGTACGGTGTTAATTGACGACCCTGGACACCCGTACGAACGAGATGTTTTATCTAAGGGGATTTTCCAGGTGAAATATCTTAATTAGTGAATAGCACCCACTCTCTCTCTGCTCTGAAGAAATACCATTGTCGGAAACATCAGCCTGTACTGGTATAAGATAGCGTTTTATTATTTTCTCGTTTATATATAGTTTTAAGTTTTAATTATAGGGGGAGCATGTGTGGGATTTGGCTGCGTTGATGCAACCTGTCTGACAGCATTCGTTTCTGTGCTCTCGCTCCCCCGTCCCCCCCACCTCCACCCCCAATAGTGAGCACGGCTCCACAGGAGAAGCAGGTGGGTGTCTCTGTCACTCGTCGTTACGCCGGGATCGTTAATCGCACTTGGAGTTCCTTTTTCCCGGCCGTGTTGCCCGCTTTGCCGGAAGTGTGTGGGTGTGCGTGGGCGTGCGTGCGGCACGATTTGTTCTGCGGAGTTATTTATAGCTTTGTGTTGGCACCATTCATAGACGTGGCGCCACGACACGACACTCGGTTTTGAAGTGCCTCGATGGATTTCATGAAAATCCTTCTCGTCGCGGCGTTTGAAATTGAAATTTAATTGTGAGCCTGGCCCCCGGGCGCCGGGCGCTCGCCTGCCAATTGGCCGAGCGATTAATTCCATCTCGAGGCTGAGCAAGCGCTGCATTGTGGGGTTCTCTCCAAAGGGCGAGCGGGGATTGAATCCACGTTTATTACAAGAGTGAAGAAGTAATGGAGGCTGTGATTGGTATCTTCTCATGAGAAATCTTGAAAACGCCAGCCAGAAAAAAAAGAGAAATGAACGGTCGACCTCTGTCACGTACAAGACAATCGGAATTGACCTGATTGATATTATTGTTCCTGCTCTGTTAATATTAAAGCAATGAAAAGAAAATGGAATAAAAAAACTGCCGTATAATTATATGCGTTAAAAATAGAATCCACTTTTCAAGAACATGAAGCTGATATTGCAGCATATTTGGCAAGGACATCAATTTAGTACTAAATTGATGGTGAGGTAATTAATCGTAAAGAAAACGGGGTTTGAGAATTTTTTTTTAAATCTCCACCTTTGTTTAGAGTCAAAATGAGGAATGTTAATCTGCGGGAAGGGGCCTGTGTAATTAACGTGCTGCTTGTTATTGCAATTGTGTGTGTGTGTGCGTCGACCCGATCTGTGTGTGCACTGACACGCCCCGGCGCGACTCCGGTGGCTTCTGCTTCTCCCCCCCCCCTCCCAGATGGGGAAACTCTCGAAGAACAAGAAGAAGAAACTGAAGAAGAAGCAAAAGCGACAGGCGGAGCTTCTGACGCAGCGCATGCAGGAGATCGAGGAGATGGAACGCGAGGCCGAGCGGCGCCGGCAACTCGACACGGGGCCACAGTCCCTCGAAAGTAAGCACGATCAGGACGGGCCGCCGGACGGCCGCGAGCCTCGCTGCGCTACACCGACGCCTCTACTCGAGCAGCAACAACAGATCGAGCCCCAGTGCAAGCAGGCGGCCTCCCAGGAAGGCCAGGGCCAGGTGGAGGACAGCCAGGCGATGTGCAGAGATGGCCAGGAAACACCTCGGCACGGCGCGTCCCAGAAGCAAGAAGGTCAGACCCCCCCGAACGAGGTTAGGAGCGTGGCGAGCGAGCCGCAGAGCCTCCCGCTGGACGGTCCGAAGCTTTGTGACGCCCAGCCGCCGCAGCAGCACGAGGCTAGGCCTCAGCGATCCCCCCACAATGCTTTGCAAGAAGAAGAGAAGGACTCCCAGAAGACGCAGCGGGAGGAGCAGTCGGGAGGGCGCGAGTCACGCAGCGCTCTCCCCAAAGATGGCACCGATGCGCAGCGGAACGCACGCACCGATGACTCTCAGTCGCACGAGCCGCCGAGGCCCCTCGCTACGAGCGCTGTTCAGGACGCGCCGCTAGACTTGCGGGCCGAGGGCCATGGTGCAGCGCAGGGCGACTCGGCCACAACCCATACCGCCACCACCACCACCACCGTCATGTCCCTTGTTGCAAGGGAGTGCGAGCGGCCGTCGAAGGACACAGTGCGGTGTGACGTGGACCCTCCCCAGCATGCCACCGTGCCGCATCAGGAGTCTGTGGATGTTGCTGATGAGGATGATGGCGATGAATGTAAGACGCTTCTTCTAACCCGCATCTAACACGCCCGCTGTCCAGTGCGGTAGAACCTCCGACAGTTGCAGCTCCCTCCTGAAGCAGTAACTCCACACTGCTGCAGCTTTGATCAATAACGACTTCATACGGAATTTCTGATGTAAGCTACTTCATGAGTAATGCTCGCCCCCATTAGGACCGCATATCATCATTTGCGGTCGTTAAGGTTTAACGATGCCTCAGGGTTTGAACACCAGGTTGGGCAAACTTGGAAATTCTGGAGGTGAGGGTTCACATGATGCAACTCAGTGGCCAGTTTTAAATCTCCTCCAGTAATGTGAAAAACCACTCAGGTGTATCTCCATTTATTGGACCCTAGCAGCCATACATTAATCCCTGAGAAAGCCACCTCTGACGCTGGGATTTTGTTGTAATTTGGCTGATGCACTTACCAAAATTATAAAAATGTAACGGAGGTTCCACCGCACTCTGTGTACTAATTTACGCCGCTTTAAATTATTTGCGATTGTCACACGGTACTATTAATCCTGGAATGGTTTTGTGGGCAACGCGTAATTAACTTTCCGCGTCGCTCGCCGCGCATTGATATGCCGGGTGCGTCGCGCCACCACTACACAGCCACGATCGTGGCCAAGCTCGTGTAATGGATGTTGGTAACGCTCTGGATGCATCCTTAACCCTCGTTATCCCCTACTGCCATGCCCAGGCGCGGCGCACGCGATAAATGGTGTTGCCGGCAGACTTGCCTGGCTGAGATTCCGGCTTTTGGAAATTACGGAATGGATCACAACAACACTGCTTACACCACTCTCCCTAATCCTGCTCGAACAACCTGCGCCGCCGTGTTCCTGCTGCTCAAATGTGCGTTGAGGCATTGGTGCTCTTCTCTCGAGAGCCTTGAGCCAGTGGTATAAATTCCACGTGAATATGGCAGGGGCATGTCTATCCTCGGACAACTTCCCCCGCAAAGTGGCACTCATTTTATGGATCCCGGAGCGAGGGATGATTGGCTGCATCCAAACAACCAACATTAAACGTTATCAAACAACCCAATTGAAATGCGCGATCAGAGTCCGCGTTTAACGTGGGCGTGTTAATGAACGCGCGGTGGCGGGGATGTGTGTGAGCACGCCCTGTGCCCGGCGGCGATAATGAGGCTCCACTGCCGCACGTCGGCAAGATATTACTCATCACCACGTTGGCTCTCGGGAATCTCTCACCGCCGAACCCCCCGCCCTACCTGTGCTTGTACCGTGTCTACGCTTCGGGTATGGGTAGGGGAAGGCTATTCATACGCTGAACGGTTCGCATATATTAACTGCTTATCTAACGTACCAGTGCATGGTGAGGTCACAACCCCACTCGCGTTCCTTCCACAAATTCTTTTTTCTTTCTGGCGGTAAGGCCACATTTTTCGCTTGCGGGGGAACTCGCCCCCTCCCGGACAGTTCACCGTTGGCGCGAGTGTGTGTGGGGCTCTCCTCCTCACTCGCCCACCCCCCCATTTCGGTCGACGAGTGGCTCCTCGCGCCCTGCCACTGAGAGAAGCGCTCTGCAGCACACGCCCCCTGCGCCACACGCCACACTCGCCACTGTTTACAAAGACCAGCTGTTGTTTGTAATTTCACTTGTGTGTTTGGTCACCTGTGCAACGCTGCTGCCTGTGACTAAATGACCCGGAATACGCCGGATAGCATTTCAATGTGTGCATAACAGGTGTTATAGGCTGCTGCGAGGGCTGCATGGTGGACCACTGGTGCTGCAAAATCCTTGGGCTGTCCATGGCTGGTGTTGTACGTTCCGTTAGTCCAGTCCGTCAAAATGCAAATTGAATTACAATTAAAAGGCACTAAGCCATATGTATTGTCAACACTGCCCTATAGCGTTGCAAACATCCAAACATTAGCCTCTCGCATTTTTCTGCTTCAAGTTAGTTACAAATGCGGTAAGTTTATTATTATGTATTTACCTGTGCACCGCACTGGCAACGGAGTCTTGTCTATGTGCCGCGCCGTCGCCAGGCATTCGGCACGAGCGGACGCGGCAGCGCTGCTGGCTGACGGGCAGCACATGCGGTTTCCTCCCCCGATGTGTACCCGCAGCTGAGTCGAGCGAGACGAACGTGGCCTACGAGTGCGGCCATGTCCCCGCGGACCCTCTGGACCGCAGCAGCAGCGGCAGCTGCTGCATGAATGGCGCCGGCTGCTCGCACGCGCCGGTGGCAACGGCGGCGGCGATAGCGGACACAACGACAACGGTAATTGCAGCGACGCTTAAGAGGATCGTCATCGCCAACGGGAAGACGCCCGGGCAGCTGGTCCTCGCCGAGGAGAACGGCTGCCTTGGCGACGAGAGCAGCGGCGGTTGCTACGACGACGTGGTCACCAGCGGGAACGGCGGCGGCCCGTGCGACGTAAGGTGTCGCGCGCAGCCGGACGTGGGGCCTCACGCAGGGCCCAACTCCGCGCTCCCCGCCTTGGGCTCCGCCGGAGCCCCAGCGAGACAACAGCGGCGGTTCAGTTTCCCGGAGGGGTGCGTGCAGTGCAACGGACACCTGCCCAACGGCCGGCACGGCAGCCCCAGCTCGCAGCTCTCAGGCGCCAGCTCCCTCCTATCTGGTGGGCGCTCGGCCTCCATCCTGTCGGGCATGTCGAGCAGCTACTCGCTCTACTCGGAGTGCTCCACTGTGGTGGATAGGGACGAGTTTGGGGAGGACGAGCCGGAGCGCAGGAGCCGCACGGTGTCCACCTCCAGCGTCAGCGACTCGGCGCGCAGTGAGTTGACACTCGCACACTCTGACCGCTCCGTCCGTAACCCTGCCTCTCCATCTCACGCTCTCTCCTGTGCCATATTGTCCACTATAACTGCAACACTCTACTCCCCACATCCCATGCTGACCCCTCTCCATCCCATACTCTTCCATCTCCCTCCCACGTTCTCCCTTCAATCCCACGCTCTGCCTCCCATGCTGCCCCTCTTATCTCCCATAATATCCGCTATAACTCTGATAGCTCTTTCCTGCATATCCCAGCACTCGTCCCTGCCACACTCTTCCCCTCGAACACCCAATACATTCATCCATCAACTTCCAGACTCTCCCTTCACCCTCTCGACAAAACTCACACCACCTGTCTCCAAACTGTCCTCCTCTGCCTCCCGTGTACCACCCCACTCCCGGTTCGTGATCACAGAGTGAGCCCTCCGTCGTGTGTTGATGCTATGGGTGCCAACACTGGCATCATGACAACAGCCAGCCATTGTTTTGGCCGATGAAGTCTGCTGAACACCCCCCCCCCCCCCCCCAAAAATCTCTGCCGGCAGAAACGTTGGCCTGACTTTCGCATTATAGCAACAAACATAGTTCATGAACACGTGTCAGGGAAATTTACATTGGAATTTGACACTTTTTAAAATACCGTGACAACCAATGCCAAATTTATAAATAACAACACGTGATGTTGTTATAATCGTATACAGGGTGCTTCAAAACATTTTTAACACTACCGAGAATTTGCAACAATACTACAAGAAATGTGCCTCCGGGCTCTGGAGAACACCTGGAGAAGATTCCAGGCAATCTGTTGACGATGATCGTGAACAAGTGGAGACTCTTTGACTTTTTGAAGCTATTAACATGACATTTGAACCTTATGGCGGGACCCCGGGGTCCCATAAGCCCCCGGCTCTCGCATAAACATGTTATAGTATTGGTTCTTTCGGTAAAGTCACGTAGAAGGGAAATAATAAAATAATAAAAATTAAACATCGATTTAAAGCTTTCGTGACTGCAGGGATTCATCTTCTTGAAAAAGAAAAATTAAACAATTTAATTATCACGGCGTTTCAATTGTAACACAAGCAATCATCATCAGGTGTGAAAACCACAGCACCTGATGATGATTGCTTGTGTTGCAATCGAAACGTCGTGAGAATGTAATTGTTTTATTATTATTTTATTATTTCCCTTCTACGTGACTTTACCGAAAGAACCAAGAATACGAATCCCTGCAGTCACGAAAGCTTTAAATCGAAAATTATATTATAATGTCAACAAAAACTTTACTCTTTTTCACCAATGGGTTTGAATGATGGTGGCAAGTGTTGTCTTGTTAAACTATGCCTTTAAAATAGAAAACTACTTACCTGCAGTACCTCTATTTAAATACACTATCGAAAAAATAATTTACACCCCTCTGTCAATCATCGTGTTTCTCAGTGTGGATTTGTGAACACACTTTGTAAACAGTACATAAAATAGTATGCGTTTTAAATACGCTGTTCATATTTTAACAAGCGTTTATACCAATGTTACTCTACAGAGTAGTGGGTCGCCGCTCCTCTTATCCGCATTGATACGAGCGGTATGTGGGGACTGGCTTAACCGCAAAAAAAAAACCTATCTGCACAGATGCATATGGACAAGAGAAGTATTATCAAACAGGAGGAATTAATGGTGCAACGCATGTCATCTGTTAAATATCTGCAGGTAATAGGATTGTCATCGGTTGATCTCGGGTGCAGACATTGGTAGGTCACAAATAATAATGAAGATAAGAGAGCAGTTTCACTGTATTATGCATCCCGTTATGACAAATAAAGGACTGAAATTCTTTGTTTTTTTCGGTAAAGTCACGTCGGTAAAATATTAAAATAACTTAAATCACGACGTTTCAGGCGTAACACAAGCGTCCTTCTTCAGGTGGGGACAACTTAGCGAAAGCACAAGACACACCGCTTAACTGTGTCTCAAAGGTGGCTGTGACGAGTAATTATATAGTCACCTCTAAGTTGTCCCCACCTGAAGAAGGACGCTTGTCTTGCGCCCGAAACGTCGTGATTTAATTTATTTTAATTTTTTACCTACGTGACTTTACCGAAAAAACCAAGAGTATGGATCCTTGCAGTCACGAAAACTTCAAATCTAGAATAAAGGACTTAATTCGTCGTGTAGGCAGTTTGAGCAGCTTTGGGTAAGACTTATGATCCTGCCCATACCCGAGCATGGAGTGCATTCGCTTGTTCAGCTCTTGTGCGCATTCGTCCTCGCTGCTGCTGCGCTTGGACATGACGTGACAACAGAACGATCCGCACCAGGTGGGTTGAGGCGTTTATGTGCACGGTGGGACGGAGTCGCCAAAAAAAATTTAATTACGATTTTGACTTCCATTTATTCGAGACCCCGGGGTCCTGCCATAAGGTTCACTTGTTATCGTGTTGCAGTATACAATCCGTTCTTTTTCATTAAAAGCGATAGTCCCGTATACGCTTTAACTTTTTTTTTTAGCACCCTGTATATTAATCATCATCGTCATCATTTATTGTTCATACCCCACCTCCCATGTAATACATCTCCAGCTTGAGGCCTAAATAATGCTGTTGTATGTTGCCTGTGCACTGTGTGCATGTGTGCTGTGTGTGTCGTATAAGTGGGGAGCAATAGGGCAGTCCTTAGTGCGCTGCACTACCAACTTGGCAACCGGAGATCGATTTCCACTCACAGCCAACATCGGTGACGAATATCTGAACTGGTCCTGGGCCTCGCCTAGGTCAACTCATGCTCATTTGAGTACCTGGTGTGGTGTGTTAACATCGGCACACGGGAGACAAAGTGGCCGGGCGTGGTGCTGGCCACCCACTCCCTGGTGTGCCTTACCGGTCTTCGTAGATGTTTGCTTCCCTGCACTTGCCCCAAGAATCTGTTCAGGCTATACAGGGGGATCATTGTCTTTGTGTGTATTGTGTGTGCTGTGCACTGTGTGCTTTTTGTGCTGTGTACACTGTGCCCTGTGTTGTGTGTGTGCGCGCTGCATGCTGTGCGTGTACTCTGTGTGTGCGTGTACTCTGTGCACACTGAGTGTGTCCTATGTACATTTTGTGTGTGCGCCCGCACCCCGCAGTGCCCTTGTGCGCCGCCGACCTTCTCGTCAACCCCCTGGACCCGCGCAACGCCGACAAGATCAACGTGAAGATTGCCGACCTCGGCAACGCCTGCTGGGTTGTAAGTTTCCACTCTTTAGTCTACGCCGGAGCACGCACGCAATCGCTCGTTCCCTCTGCCGAAGGGAGGCTCAGCAATGTCGGCGCCACCGCAGTGCCGAGCCGTGCCGCCGACGCGAGAGAGGGGAGGCTGTGACGGGCGTCCGCGGATTGTGCCGGGTGCTCACCGTGCTTCCCCCTTGTCGTCGCGTGTGTGCCCTGCCCGCCTCACCCTCCCAGCACAAGCACTTCACAGAGGACATCCAGACGCGGCAGTACCGCTCGCTCGAGGTGCTCATAGGGGCCGGCTATGGCACGCCCGCCGACATCTGGAGTACGGCGTGCATGGTGAGCGACGGTCCCCAACACGTGTCTTGCTAATTATATCAGTTCTCCCACCCAACCAGCATACAAAGCTCTTTACTCTGCCATAAGTTAGCCACTGCCCCCCCCCACCCCTCTTTTTTTCCACCCCTCTTGTGTTGATTGAAGGGACACGAGGGGAGGAGGGGCAACCCTGTACAATCCCAGCACCACGCTCTATAAATAACGACGCGCCAGGCAGTGTGTTTATTGTTGGTGTACCATGCGTCAGAAACATGGAATAAAGAACAGCATTGCTCCGTTGCGCAGAGTCACACGCCATCCTTGTTCTCTCGGCGCCACAGCCGGCGACCGAAACATCACATGACGCAACACCGATACGACCAAGTCTTCGGCAACCGGTGCTGACCAGCGTGGTAAACTGTGGTTCAGTAAAATCCCCATGACCCGCAGGACGATGTGGGGAGGCCTTGGTCCTTCCAGCAGTGGATTGACATACGGCTGTACACGCGCAGAAGTGCGATGCAGAGAAATGGCACCGCATAGCTTCGGGCCCCCTGCATTGCACTCTTTTGACTTCAGCTGCGCACGGGCCCCCGCTGCCCTCCCACCCCCTCCTGCTCCTGCCCTCTGTAGGCGTTCGAGCTAGCGACAGGAGACTACCTGTTTGAGCCTCACTCTGGAGAGGACTACTCGCGCGACGAAGGTAGGAGCGCAGGCGGCGACGTCGCGCGGGCTTCTGTGGTCGTGCGTGGATTTATGCGTCCGCTTAACGTGGTGTTTCTCAGCTCCGATCTATGGGACCCCTCCGCCCCTCCCACCCCACTAAGGTGCAGCTTTCATTCATATTATAATTATCAACCATCAGGCACATGCCGTGCAAAGCGGCCTAATTTTCATGGCTATAAAAGGTTGACAATCATAGTGGGAGATCGTGAGTACTGGAGTTGAGAAACACTGCTCTAACCTATCCTCTGTCAAATTAAGTAACCATAATTAAGAGTTTATATTATTTATTGGCATCTCAGAGCATTTATAAAATAAACTTGTGTTAAAAACAAGTTAAGCTTTTTAAAAATATTAACTTGCATCGTGTAAATGATGCCCTGTGTTTGCCATGCACTGTAGACAGGACTCTAACCCCAGTTACCCACATGCTTAACCTATCTTGTTAGCTTTCAAAAGCTAAGCAGGCTTTTTAGGCCTGGATCGTGCTTGGGTGTGCAACCTCCGTCCATACCAGGTGTTCTTAGGCAGCTGTGGAGCCGTACTACGTGACGTGGACAGCGAGACAGAGGGCAGTGCTGCAAAATCCATTGTTCCACTGTTCTTCTGTGCTCCCACGTCTACGTTATCTGCCTTGGACAACCCGCACTGACCAGTATGGGGGAAGTATGTTGAAACAACCCCCCCCCCATGACCCACACAGCTTCGGGATACCCTTATGCAGCAGTGGATTGACAAAAATGGCTGCACATATGATAGTAATAATGGCCACCCAATGTGGTGTTACTAAAGGAATCATACAGCTCCTCTCTGAATGTGAGAGCCAAAAAGGGTCACAATGAAGAAAAATCCCACTGCTGAAAAAACCTTTGCTGCTGCCACTTGTTGCTTTTGGTGGCCCGTGGAATGCGGTAATGGCCGCATTAACGGCCGCAACATAAAGTGGTGGTGGAAACAAGGGACTGCCAAGGGTCAGGGGTCATGGGGTTCGGGTTGATTCGGGCTCCTGATTGGCCGCTGCCATGTTATTCGGAGCACCTATGGCGAGGGGTTGTAGGCGCGCTCGTTTAACCAGTGTGCCGCATGCCTCCGTTAACAATCGGCGCGTGTGCCCGACTGCAAGCTGTTTGCGCTCTCTTGATTTCCTCTCCCTGCCTGTGTGGAGGTCGCTCACCTGGCTTGAGACAGGGCTGTGTGAGCTGATCTCACTTCCAACAAGTTTTCCGCTCGGGTTGCTGTGATTCCCACCTGCTGCATGCTGCGATGCGTCCCACTCCTTTCGTCGTTTTTGTGTCAAATGAACGTTTCCGACTGTTGGGGGTCTTGACTGATGGTGCTGCTCCATGTGTCTGTGTGTGTGTGTGTGGCTGCCTGTCCTGTCTCTGTGTGTGTCTCTCTCTTCTGTTCTCTCTTCCTGCTGCCTCCTGTTCTTTGTCCTCATCTCCCGTCCTCCCTATCTCTGTCTCTGTGCTTCTCTGTCCCTTGTTCCCCCCCTCTCTCCCCTTAGATCACATCGCTCACATCATTGAGCTCCTGGGGAATATCCCCAGGCACTTTGCACTGTCGGGAAAGTATTCGCGGGAATTCTTCAACCGCCGAGGTAGACCCGCCGTGCCGATTGCCGGGCGCCTGCGACCGCCACAAGCCCTTGCTTGGGAGGGCAGCCCCGACCACGAAGCTGCTAGTTCCCAAACACGTTACTTTCAAATGCACTTGTGTTTTTGGCAAGCTGGTAAAATGTATAGCGAACATGCGTGCATCACCTCGCTCAATTTATCTGGACGGTCGGAGGCTCTGGTAGCCATGAGTCGATTAAACCGCTGATGGTCGAGAATGGGCTCGCTGTAATAACTTGGAATCTGACAACGAATAATTAATAATCAAAGCAGCCGGTGGTCGACGCCTCCTCCCAACCGGGCACGCGGTAGTCGCGTCAGAGACGCGTCTCACCTTCTCCACCTCCCCCTCCCACCTCCACCCCCCTACCCCCCCGCCTCTCCCCTCACCCACCACCGTGGCCCCATCCACTCGCCCTGCCCACACAGACCACATTGCGCTGGTCACTGAGTTGCTGGGGAAGATCCCGCGGGATGTAGCTCTCTCTGGGAAGTATTCGCGTGAGTTTTTCAACCGGAAAGGTAATCCCCTCTCCTACCGCTCCTCCCTCCTCTTCCCCACCCACTCCCCCATCCCCCGTCCACCACATTTCCGCACCCACCCACTAGTCCATTCGAATCGATATAACTTAATTGTTTTGCATGGTGGTTGATGCTGCCGTGGTGTCATGGTTACCTCACTGGACTTGCAATCCAGAGATCGTCGGTTTGACCTCCCAAAGGGAAAGTTTTTTGTTTAAATCCCCCCCACACCGCCTATATCCACCCAACAGTTAACATGAGTATGCCACAGTCACAAGATGGGCAGGTGGCATGTGGTTGGATAAAGTGTGGGCACTCCCACCGGTTCCAATATATGCTGGCCAGTGTGGCTGGAGTAGGCCAAATACCCTCTCGAGTCGTGTTTCTCAACATTTTTTGGCCTGCGAACCAGTCAGCCAATGCAAACATTTCTGCTGATCACCCAGCCCCCCGCCACGCTGACGGAACACATTCACTTCTCTCTCTAATACCAGTAATACTAAATTATTCATATTACCGGAACATAAAACTTTTTCTTAAACGCAGCTAAAATGCTTTCTTTTAGGGGGTGGGGTGGGCATTTAGATCTTAGGCTTAGGGTAGTTTAATCAGTGTAGTTTACCTAACTGATGCTTTTTATTATTATTATTAAATATCGTAAGTCAACTTAATTTCCAAAACAAAAGGTATAAAGGTTGTGATTATTTCCAGATCAATCTGCATTTGCATCACAGCCCCGTGGACCACCTGGGGGGACGGTCGCGGACCTCTGCTGGTCCGGGGACCGTACTCTAAAGGGGCTCTCTCTCTCTATAGCGCCCTCTAGTGGAGGCCCTTCTGCCAGCAGTGGCGTGAGCAAGCAATTTAAGGACTGCACCTTTACCAGCATTTACACGTGATAGCTGTGTTTTTACTTAATGATGATGTAATGCATATTTTGTCGCGGTAATGGTGACAAGATTTCAACAACTCAGCAGAGTTTAAGTGTAGAGAATAAAATGCCTCGTCGTTATAAGCCGGATATCCTGCATGCTTGGTGGTCAGTATGTTTGCGATTCACCCCATCACCCTTGATTCGAGTTGTTGACCCTGATCATAGAACAAGCCGACAGAATATACAAAACAGACAACACAAACGAGATTTTAAAGCTATCAAATGCTGGACCAATTCTTGACCTTGGATTATGACAACTTGGTGAATTGCTGGGGACGTGGGGGGGGGGGGTGGTGAATCATTGCACATTTAGCGGCGAGTGCCCGGGAGAAGAGAAGGCAGCACGAGGGGGAAGTGGTGACACACTGTCTGCCCCACAGGCGAGCTGCGGCACATCACCAAGCTGAAACCGTGGGGGCTGTACGACGTCCTGGTGGAGAAGTACGAGTGGTCCCAACAGGATGCCGCCCAGTTCAGCGACTTCCTCATGCCCATGTTGGAGCTGATCCCCGAGAAGCGGGCCACCGCAGCCGAGTGCCTGCGGCACCCGTGGCTCACCATGTAGTCACGCGCGCGGCGGACGAGCTGGCGCGGCGACCACACCGAAGCTCTTCACACCGCGCGCCCGTTCCCCCGCTACCTCCACCGCCCCACGCCCGGCACGGCGCACTCCTCCGTCTTGGGGATAGATCTTCCGTGGATGGCGGTGGAAGCCAGGATGAAGGACGGTGGACACACCGGCTGCGAGTTGGTTCGCTCTACCGTGCGTACGCCAAAACTGTGGGGGGGTGGGGGAGTGCACCGTTTCCCTGGCAGGCTGTCTCCGCCCTCCCTGCGTCTGTCGGCTCACCGGCTGGAGCCGAGAGGTGGGGGACAAGGCACTCGCCAACAATAGGCGACGGCGCCGCCGCTGAACTCTTTCCATGTGTCACGCGCCACTCTATACCTTTCACCCTTCAGTACCGCTCGTTTTTGTTGGTGAATATGAGAATTTGAGTAATCGGTCATTGGTTGAAATGGAAGGCTGTTTCCATGGGCTCCAATTGGAGAGGAAGTAGTCGAGCGCTTGTGCGCGTGCATCTCCTGGTGGAGGCGTCTCTTGAACCGTGGCTTCTGTAGGCGCCGTTCAGGCTAGCGGTCGTCGTTGGTAGAGCGTGAATTTTTCTCTCTTCCCGCGAGCGATTTTAAAATCTTGTCTGCGCGTTCACTTCTTCCGCGAAGTTTCGAGCCCCACGCCGAGCGTCGCACCCCAGCAGCGCGTGTTTCACGTCACCCTGCACTGCCCTGCGCCACCGCCCTCCCCTGTGTGAATAAACGAGGCAGTAAGTGACTGGCACCGACGCGGCGGCATTTTCTCCATGGGGGGGGGGGGTCCCCAACGTGAGCGTCGCACTCGGAGAGTCTCTCGGGCACACGTGACTTGTCGATCGGGGGCCGGAGTGCCAGAGCACAGCACGAGGAGAAGGTGGCGGCGGAGGAAGATGATAATGATAGTAGAGCGGCCTTTCCTTGAGAAGGGGGGCAATGACGACAGCGTGGCAAGACCAGAGTGTGGAGAGAGGGGACACGGAGGGAGAACAAGCAGCGACGTCTGTAGAGAAATTGTGGGTCCTGACGGTGGCACCAACCAGGACCCAGTCCTGACATTCAATTTAAGCTCTTTCCCCAATACCTAAACCTCACCCGTTATCACAGCTCTTTTAATAAGTTTGACCACAGTTTATCCCTAGCTCTTGCCCTAATATTCTCTTATGCACTGACCTTAGTCCTAAACCCCTTATATTTTGCAAGCATTTCCTTGCAAATAAATAGAGAACATTTGACAGAGAAGTCACTTTCAGGAGTCATCAAATGACTCCTGATCTCGTTCAAAAACGAGCCAGTGAGATGGTTCCTTGAAGAGTACCCCTTCTAAAATGTTCTCCCACGCCACTGGGGTCAGGATTCAAACTCGGCTGCTTGGTTGTCTACGTCCGTTAGCTGGTGGAGCCCCGTGTGCTGTATTGCGTGAACAGAATCGGTCTGGGCGCCACGGGCAGAGCATCCCTTGCGCTCGTATCAGTTTGGCTCTGACCTGTTTGGGTCAGAGCGCCTCGACCTCGCAGGGTGCAGAGATTTACCGCGTTGATGCAGGCCAGCTCAACGACTCGTGCCGCCAGGACAGATTTCATCACGCGAATCCGCAAGGCGGAATCGGCAGAAGCGCCCTTGCCCTGATGAGGGTGGAGAGGAGTGCTTGGGTCGTCTTGTCGCTGTCGTGGATTTTCGCCGCCGTGGAGTGCGGCGTTGGCGAGACACGTGCACGCGTGGGTAAGTTCCGAGGCTTTATTATTATGATAATTTTGTTATTCATATTATTTAAAATAATTTAAGATCATCAACAACCAAATACGTCTCATCTCGCAGGTGTGACGCGCACAATTCCGTGTGTTTCTTTAGTGAGGTCGCGTAGCGGTGTTAATGGAGGCAGTAGCTGTTATATATTACAGTATACACAGTATATGTACAACTAGACGTCATCGTTCCCTGTGAATGCATATTATATACGCGATACAGGAGGGCCACTGTTTACAAACAACAGGGATGCGAGGAGCGCGCCACCCAAAATCTCATCGCCAGGGAAAACGACTGCCGTGGGCTTCCAACTCAGACTGGTGTGAGACACGGACACGAACTCTCACCTGGACAAACGAATGGGCACTCGTGCCTCATTGGGCTCTCACCTGTGCAATTAAATCAAAATAACCACGTCGTTGGGGAGAATATAAGTAGCAAAAATAAATAAGCAGACTGTCCTGCTGCACATATCCGTCTCCACATAAAAAAAATATTTTACATCTCATCAGCCACACGGCCTTCTGGGAATACATCGATTCGCCACAAGCAAAACTGGACTGGTGTCGACAGTGATGAGAGACAGTGATTAGACACGAAGGCAAAACCAGCAACATTATTGCTTGGAAATAATGTTGCTGAAATGATGCACTTCCAGAAGGCCGTGTGGCTTATGGGTTGTGTAAGAAATACTTTTATTATTAATGTGGAGAAGACAAATATGTGAAATGAGACATTTATTATTTTGTCACATTCAACTATCGTTGGTAAAACTAATGGGCTCTCGCTTAAGTGGGTTCTCATCTCACCAACCAGATGGGGCCACTACCTGATCTAATAGGTCCTCACCTGGTCAACCGGCATGTCTCCGAAAGCGTGCCACTGTTGAGTTGGCAGTCCCACTGGTCGTGTTTGTGGCGAGCGAGTCCTTGTGCTGCAGCGCCAGTAAATCGGCAAGTCCGTCGGATGATCGCCGCCGTCACGAGCCCCTGCAACGTTTGGTCTTGGCGGGGCAACCGGTTTTGGGTTAATCGGTCGTTGAGGTTTCTTCCATTGGGTGAAAGTGGCTGTCAGAGATTTTTAGTATGGGACTTCTCCCTCCACCTTGGCGTTCGTTGTCGATGGGGTCGGTGGGGAGGGAAGGGGGCGTTCTCATCCCAGCTGCTCGCTTCCTCCAGAAGCCGCTTGGTGCCCGTGGGTCACCCAGTTGCCCCACGAGTACCAGACGTCACTGCGCGATGTGTGATGGGGGGGGGGGGGTGCAAGATGCGATGGCCGTGTGCCATCGTTCCGCGGAGGTGGTTGTTGTGCGCGTGGTGAGGCTGTGTGCACATGACGTGCGAGTTGTGGGTTCGCAGTTTCTCGGTTGGCTTGCCCGCACGTCTGTAGTGGGTGGGTGCTATTATGGTGTTTGTGCCAACACGGTGCCCACACGGTAAATAAATATCTGCTTTTTATAGCAATTTGGTTGGCATCGCGATTTACCAGTAGTACGTTCCACTGTAAGCAAACCAATAAAATGTGCGCGGTGTTCCTGTGAGATCACTGGCATTTCACTGTGGTGGTGGCAGAATATCCACAGTAGTTTCCTGTTTCCAGTTCAAGAAGAATTGGTTCATGTTGCCATTTTGCAGCAATTGATTGCTTCATTTGTAGGCCACGTCTGTAAAAATTATTGAGGACTTCGACTGTCATAAGAATAATAATCAGGCGTCAGGGTGGCGCTCAGCAAGAAATGTCCAGGTTCGATTCCCTGCTCGTGCATCTTTCGCGTGTGGAGTGTGTTCTCCCCCCCTCCTCCTGTTCTGCCATAGTAAAAACAACCCATACAATGTAACTGGTCTATAATAGAGGTTTTTGAGTTAGATCGCGTCACTATATAAATGTGACGTTAAAATCCACCACCACCCGACAAAGCCAACTAGTAAGGGTTGTCACGTAAACAGAACATGCCAATTCGTCACTAGTACAGCACACCGGTGTGTTGGAGAGCCGAACCACAACATTTACAATCTCAGATTGTAAATATTATGGATGATATTGGTCGCGAAAGCCTACGCGTTAAACCATTGTAACCAGTATTGGCCAAAACATCTCAATGCTGAAATTGTACCCGCAAATTCCTCAATTGGGTCGACACATCCCGACTGCGAATACTTGGCGGCAGCCTCCTGGAAAACGAGTCTTTGAGACTCGGTGAGGCTTTCCTGAGTAAACAAGCGTGCTTGTTGAGCTCCATATCCGTGGAGCTCCATATACGTGGTGCTCCAAGCCCATGGAATTCCATGCCTGTGGAGCACTGTGTGCATGGAGCTCAACGCCCATGGAGCTGTGTGCGAGTGGGGCAAGCATCCGTCCACATTCACTTGGTTTGCGGTTGGAAGTTTGAGGAACCGTTCAATTTACGAGGATAACCTATATGTACGGTATCCTTCGCAATCACCGCATCCCAAATTGATTTAGCTTAAGGATATGCGATTATATTCGGATGGACGGACGTGGAGCGCTGACGCGACGGTTTTGTGCACCGTACCGTGAACCCGGCGGCCGGAGTTCAATTTCCGGCAGAGGTTCACGTCGACGGCGAGTAATGTCTGAACAGGTCCTGGGTCTCCTTCCTCTCCAGTCTGCACTGGCAAGCGTGGTGAATTATAGTCCAACAAGTCCCCTTGAGACCTACACATTATAATTGTAATGATAAAATTGTTACACGTGTAGGTGTTGGCCTCATAAAACACTGGCTATTCCCCTGCACTGTTTTAAGTGATTAAGTCGATTTGAGTGTTTTATGAAACTTGCCACTGGCCTTGACTGGGGTACAATATTTAGAGGGACGTATACAAGATGGTGAACTTCTTGGTCTCCTCTTCCACGCTGGCCAACCACGTCTCGGAAGAGGTGGGATTATACCCAGACTTGACAACCACGCCGCGACTTGCCGATCGACTTGGCTCTGCCGTGCCCGTTTCTACTGCTGGGCAGACGGCACGCATGATAATTTGTTTAGCATCCGTTTAGATCAATAATCCCAAACACTTCCCATTTGAATAAACGGCACCTTTATTCGAGCAGCAAAGGGATCGCGAGACCCAGTGACCGTGGTTGGTGTGCCGCCCGCTCCTCCGGTTGAGGATGAAGTGGCGATGGGCACCAGAGCGGATGTCGCACTGAACGGCCCGCGGAGGGGCACCCGTTTATTTATTGATTGTCATTTTCTCCTTTTTTTACGTTACCTTTCCCCTTGGTGATGACTTTTTAAGCGGAGATGATTGACGGGAGACGACGCACAGAGGTGGCAGATAACACTGGATGTTGCGCAGCGAGCGAGTTCGGGGTATTGGAGGCACAGGGATGGGATGGGGAAATCGCGGGTAAGGCTTCTCGTGAAACGTGTTCCCCGTAGCGTTAACTCTGACTGACGTTCACTGGCGGAGGTTACGTGATTGCCACCCGCCATGCGGAGAGCGCGCATGCGGCGGGAAAGTGGCCTGTGTGCTTAGATTGCTTTGCAGTGACTTGGCTGGCGGGCGGGCGAGCCAGCCATGGTGTTGTGTGCCGTGTGACAGGGTCCAGCGCGCGCGTGTGTGTGTGTGCGCACGTGTGACATTGCCACACGCACCACACAACACCCTTTGCGTGCGCGTGCGTTCGTGTAAATACATAGCACAGCCATCCGTCCCACGCCGGACAGACAGCCGTGCTATTACTGAATCGCGGTGTCGGTGCTTGCCGTGTTGGATAGGGGACATTTAAAGAGAGGAAGCAGTGGCCAACGTTCGCTCAACTCACTCACTACTCGTCCACACGGTGAGGCTCCACCACCCCCACAATGAACTCCACCACGTGTCCCGCGTAGCCCCCCGCACCGCCCCACGTACACTAGGTGATCCGCATTTAGATTGGATCGCATCCTGGGATTAATTGATAGGGAAGGCACAAGTGTTGGGGGGGGGGGGGGGCTCCGTTCTCCACGAGCGCAGGCGGCACCCGAACGAGATGAAGCGAATTCCGATGGCGACGCGTTATTATAACAACAATAATAACAGTACAGTAATAATAATAACGATGATGTTAATACGTTTCTTCTTGTGACGCGATGCGAGTGAGTCGTCGTGAACCGATATTACAAACATGTCTTTGTGTCTGTTTGATCAAATAAAATATTGTTTTCTCTAGAGCTGCCGTGGGTGGGTTTTAGGCCAAACCACGCACACACAGCAACACGCGTCAAAGACAAGGATCCCTCGTATAGCCTTCAACAGACTGTTCCACTAAGTGCTGTTAGCAAGCACCTAGGAAATCCGGGACAGCCGACCAAGCATCGCATTACACACACAGACCAGCACACACATACACAACAACAACAGCTGCTGTTCGCCAGTAAGTGATGGTGTCGTCACCACAGCTCTTGTGCCAGGCTAGGTGCATTTTGAGGCTACATGGAGTGTCGAATGCTGGCTGACAAGACGTCACGGGCCAGACTCGGGTGCTATGGGATGACTGGCTTGGTATTACTTACTGGCAGATGCACCACCTGCGCTCCCCTGTGGGCCAATGTGGCACAGTTGGCAACACACAAAGACAAACAGCCCTCTGTGTAGCCTTCTCCAGACTTTTGGGGAAAGTGCTGTTAGTGAGCACCTATAAAGGCATACAAGGTGGATTAGAGAGTGGTGTAACCAGCACCACACCCGGCCGCCTTTCTCTCCCCAGTGCTGATGTTTTCACACCGCACCAGGTGCTCATTTAAGGATGAGCCAACCTCGTGGAGGCCCAAGGCTGGTTCAGTGGTCACTCGCCACTGATGTTAGCCATGGCCAGTAATCAAACTCGGGTCACCGGGTTTATAGCGCAGTGCTCTAACACACTGTGCTACCGTTCCCCACAACAACAACAACAACCGCCATTCGCCACTAAGTGGCGGTGACGTCACCACGACGCTTGTGCCAGGCCATGTGCACCTTGAGGCCACGTGAAGTGTCACATATACACATTCACATACATACTAAACAACAACCGCCATTCGCCACTAAGTGGCGGTGACGTCACCACGACGCTTGTGCCAGGCCATGTGCACCTTGAGGCCACGTGAAGTGTCGAACGCCCGCTGGCAGGAGGTCACGGGGCAGACCCAGGTGCCACGAGTCGACTGACTGAGATGACCGAGATGACTGGCTGATGCACCACCTGTGCCCCCTACTGTGCCAACTTGCTGTCCTTAAGTACCCGGCGCTCCGCTCGTTGTTGTAAGCGTCGCTCCTCCGCCCTCCGTTGTTGGAGGTCGACTGCCTCCAACTGCCCAGTAGCGTCCTTCACGAGCCTCCTCCACAGAGGCCGATCTTGACACCGCTGGTACCAGTCATCGGCAAGTCCGCTCAGCTCCACGTCCTCCTGTACCACATCACTCCATCTCTTCTCTAGCCTGTGCCACGCCCGTTTAGCCCCCTCGATCCGGCTGAACAAAAGCTGACCCCCACACACACAGATACACAAACATTTATAGTCCAAGAATCTCAGACAGGACATGAACAAGGGTTGAGAAGCACCGGGGTAGACTGTTGTGCAACTGGACCTGCTGGTTTCTCGTGCGTGGAGTTCACGAGGAACCGGGGTGATGCTTGGTCATAGGCACATGCTTCACTTCACACGCGGCCTCCTCTCTCCTGCCCGGGACCCGGGCCACAGCTAGGGAGCCGCTCCCTCTGTTGCACAAGGGGTGGAGGACACGGAGATGTGGCTTTGAGACCCACGAGATCGACCCCGGGGGCACCTCCTCGACATGCATGGGAAGGGAGTTTCACAAAATGTGTGTGATCTACCAACCCCCGCTGCCTCGACAGTGGATGTATGTTTAACTTATTTCGTGCCGTACGTCACCAATTGTGCTAATCGCTGAATACAGGCCACGTACGTAGCCACAAACACCACCGCCCAAGTCCGCACTCTGTAGTGGGAAGGAAGGGCAAGCGGTATGGAAGTACAGCACAGTAGCCAACAAAGGCTAGGCCTATCTGATCAGTCACTCGCACAAGCCCTACCAGTGACTTTAACTAACTAATCAACCAGTCACTAGCCCTACCAGTGACCGTAACTAGCTTATCAGCTTCTCAGCCATTAATACGATTCCTACCAGTAACCCTATCTGACCAACCACTAGCACGAGCCCTACTCGTGACCCTAACTAATCAACCAGCTACTAGCACTAGCCCTCTATCAGTGACTTTAACTAACTATGCAACCACGCACTAGCATTAACCCTTCCAGTGACCCCCAACCATAACCAAGTAGCCAACCAGCCCTGAGTCGTATCACTCACAAATAACCTTATCCTTATTCTTGGTTCTTTCGGTAAAGTCACGTAGGAGGGAAATTATCAGATAATAAAAATAAAACATAATAAAATAAAATAAAATTCTCACGACGTTTGGGCCACAACGCAAGCAGCCGTCCTCAGGTGAAGAACAGAGCTGTCGGAAAGACAGCGTCCATTAGGACGCTGTCTTTCCGACGAATTTTATTGTTTTATTTTTATTATTTGCCTTCTACGTGACTTTACCGAAAGAACCAAGAATATGAATCCCTGCAGTCACGAAAGCTTTAAATCGAAACCTTATCCTTAGCCCCATCTACCATCATGATCGATTCACGATCATCAATCATCAGTCCATTGCTCCAAGGTAATCGCTGGGAGGGTCACTCTTGCCGTCACCTCTTCCCCAAGTTCTCCACTCATCGCCGATCCTTGGCGGCACTACCTGCAGCCAGCTGGAAAGATCAACTGCTGGTGGAGGAAGAGTGGACGACCCGCCACTCTCCCTGTAAGCCAGCGCTGTGTGGAGGCAGCAGCGAAGCTTGATGAATCTCACGAATGGTGTGAGACTCCCTCCCCGATGGCGTCGAGGAGGTTGCCAGGAGAAGGCAATACAGCAAATGTGGACTCCACTTGTTTGCGTCTGTATGGAGTAGAGTGCTTCCCCTTTGCACATGTGGGGTTTCTCCGGGTGCTTTGGTTTCCTCCCATCTGTAAAAACGCTCATTAATTGGCTGATAAGACCATCATATGTAGAGGAGTGCAGAGCTTGGGCAGGTGCTTCCTTTCCCGCTCGTCTGTGGTTCCGCCTCGCTCCTGAGTCGTCCTATCTCGAAAATAATAATTCGTGTCGTGGATAATATAAAAAAAAAATCACGTAGAGAGACGGAACTGTGAAGAATACCTTGGACCAATCAATTTCAAGGACAGTGCATACATTATCAGAGTTGTGTTTTTTGTTTGCATTTCGACTGCAGGTATTGTGGTCTATGCAAACACAACTCCTTGTAAAAAAAAGTGTCAGTTTTGTTGCCAGATAAAAGGGTAAAAAAATAATTATCATATTTTGCTACTGGCAAAGGAGGTTCCAATGGTGAAGAATTTATCTTGTTATTTATATTCTACACGTACAACGTGAGTGATTATGTTGAGTCGGATCTCACTCTTATAATTTTATGTGGAACTGGGATCTCATAGCGTAAGATCGGCAGTTCACCAGCATTTATTTCAAACGAGCCTGGGCTCTGCTGATGAGGCACCTGGGAGTGTTCGCTTAAAACCAATGCTGCTCAAATTAAGCACTAAGAGAGAAAGTCCGTGTGGCTGATGGGATGTATAAAAAGTACACGTATTTATAGATGCGGAGGGACAGATATGTGTGGACCAGGCGTATTACTCTCCGCTTATAGATTTTTTGTGACATTGTCTAACAACGACGCTGCCAATCGGAACGTTGTTGTGAAGTGTTGCTTGTCTTGCATCAACGCTGCTGAAACGACACACTCCCAGAACGAAGGCCGTGCTAGTGTCACTGATGGGGGTAGGGTAAGCAATATGTTGGAGACACGGATGTTATAATCGTCATCATTCCATCGCTCCGCTGGGTCGCCCGCCCGCTCGCCCACTCACCTTTTTCCTCGTCCACCAGGAAGTCGTCCGGCAGGAGGTTGTCCTGGCGGTTGCCCAGCACGAAGGCGAGGAAGGCGAGGACGAAGGCGTCCAGGATGCCCACGATGGCCAGCACGTACGCGTAGCGCACCGTGCACGCGCCCAGCGTGTACTTGCCAGTGTTGTCCCCGCACAGGCGGCGCACCTCGTCGGCGTCCCACCCGTCCGGGTAGATCATACAGCCCAGCACCAGCAGCGCAGCTGGTGGCACAAAGATGCCCCCCCCCCCATCATAGCCTTAGCAGACTTAAGAGGTTTTACTGGTTGGAACCTTCTGGTTACACCAGCCCACAGGGGATTATTGTGTCCGTCCGTCCGTCGTGCAGGGAGGGGCTGGGTGGGGAGGGTGGGGCTGGGTGGGAGGGAGGGGAGGGGCTGGGTGGGAGGGAGGGGAGGGGCTGGGTGGGAGGGAGGGGAGGGGCTGGTCACCCCGTGGTGCCCTTATAAAACTCAACGTTTAACCTACTCACGCTGGCTTGTGCCTGCCCTCACAGTCGGGCATATTTGCGGAATACACCATGCCGCCGTTGACCCTGGCCATTGACCGAGCAACCCAACGTTCCTACCAGCTCCCTCCGCAGGAATGTGTTTTTTGAATGTGTTAGATCGCGTAAATATATAATTGTGTCGTTAACCCCGCCACCACCCGATACAGCCAACTATTAAGGGTTGTCACGTAAACAGAACGTGCTAATTCGTCACTAGTACAGAACACCGGTGTGTTGGAGAGCCAAGCCACAACATTTACAATCTGAGTACGACGTTTCGCCAGTAATTAAACAAGCTTCATTAGGCGATAGCCAGATTTGTGGAGAAGTCCACCTGTTTCGTTCCTTATATAGAGGCGTAGCTGTGGTGACCACACTAATACGCTCTTGCGCAAAGTGTTGGGGCAAGTGCTGTTATTCGAGCACCTCTGAAGGCCGGCAACGGCACACGAGAGGGAGTGAGTGGCCAGCACCACGGCGAGACTGCCTTTGTGTCCCCAGTGGCGATGTTTTTTTTACACACCGCACCAGGTACTCGTTTGATGCTGAGTCGAGCTAGGGGAGGCCCAGGACCGATTCAGACGTTCGTGCGGGTGACACCGCACAGTAGACCATCTACCACACCCGCCCCCACCTGACCACAACCACTCGGTAAACATGCAACGTTGGGCCAATGTGGTTGGAACTGTTGGGCCAACGTTGGCCCGACGCTGCTCCAACGTTCCAAGTTTACTGGGCAACGCAGGTAGAAACCCATTCATTCGGTCACGTGTCATTCACGAATATATCAACACACCATATTCTTTGGGTCTTCCGGTAAAGCCACGTAGATAGAACACATCTAACCTATATAATTCATTTTTTGTCTGTCTGTCTGTCTGTTTGTCCGTCTGCGTACGCTCCCTTCCGGGGGATTTAGCTATCGGACCGTGGGGTTCGCCGAGATTAAATTTTGCAGGTGGGCACGCCCCCGGCCCGCGGTAAACTTAGGCATTTCCGATTTTTCGTCTCTAAATTTTAAATCGGACCGATTATCGATTTAGTGCGATTGCTCTTTATTTAGTTATATAATTATTTATTTATTTAATATTGCCGGCCGGCGCGGACCACGGCGGTTGCCCCTGGCAACGGGTAGCAACAACTTCGCTGCGGGGTGGACGCCATTTTTAATTTCCGTTACAAATATGCGCACGCATTAACACGCGATTCTGAGGTAAATTCATCAAAGTTTCACGTCCTCTTCACTCCCCTTCCAACCCAATGTGTGCAATTACTATTATAGGGTCGGTAGATAATAAAATTATAGCGATTAGACAGTATTATTGTACATACACTCCACTCTCACACTCTCAGACTCGCACACATACAACAACAACAACAACCGCCATTCGCCACTAAGTGGCGGTGACGTCACCACGATGCTTGTGCCAGGCCAAGTGCACCTTGAGGCCACGTGAAGTGTCGAAAGCCCGCTGGCAGGAGGTCACGGGGCAGACCCAGCAGGTGCCACGGGTCGACTGACCGAGATGACCGAGATGACTGGCTGATGCACCACCTGTGCCCCCTACTGTGCCAACTTGCTGTGCTTTAGCCACCCGGCGCTCCGCTCGTTGTTGTGAGCGTCGCTCCTCCGCCCTCCGTTGTTGTTGGAGGGCGACTGCCTCCAACTGCCCAGTAGCGTCCTTCACGAGCCTCCTCCACTGAGGCCGATCTTGACACCGCTGGTACCAGTCATCGGCAAGTCCACTCAGCTCCACGTCCTCCTGTACCACATCACTCCATCTCTTCTCCAGCCCGTGCCGCGCCCGTCTAGCCCCCTCGATCCGGCCGAACAAAAGCTGTTTAGGCATGCGGTGGCTGGGCATGCGGGCTACATGACCCAGCCAACGCAGCCTTGCCTGCCGGAGGAGCTCACCGATGGGACTTTGCCCAGATCTTTCAAGGATTTGTGAGCTCCTCACACAATCCAGCCTGGTTAAACCCAGGATGGATCGTAGGCAGGCCAGCCTAAATGTTTCCAACCGGCGAAGATGCTCCACCAGGGGGGTCCACGTCTCGCAAGCGTAGAGAAGGGAGGGAATGACCGTGGCCGAGAAGACCTGAAGCTTCGTGCGGAGCGACAGACCAGGTAGCTTCCACACAGCGTTACGCAACCGATGAAAAGATATTGCCGCTCGACTGATTCGGAGTGAGACCTCTGCTGATAAACTGGAGCCGGTCATAAGCACACTGCCCAGGTATGGGAAACTCTCCACTCTCTCCACAACTGCCCCATCACCAATTGGGAGTTGTGGGGGTGGAGTGTCCGATGGTACAAAATACCCAGGCAGGTGCTTAGTTTTGGTGGGGCTGATGGTAAGGCCCCACCTCTTAGTGGCACGCTCCAGTCTCAGCAGCAGCGTCTCCAACTCCTCCTCTGAGTGAGCAGCTATTACCAAATCATCGGCATACATAACGTGGTTGACCAATAGGGAGCCATCCCTTGATCGCACCCGGGCGTCGATCAGCCTCCCATTATATCTGTACCAAATGGAAATTCCCCCGGTACAGCTATTGAAGGCTTCACGAACTACGCGGTCAAAATAGATGTTAAATAATGTGGGAGCCAGAGGACATCCCTGTCGCACCCCAAGGTGTACAGGGAAAGGCTCCGACTCCCGGCCACGTAGTTTTACCCGGGCCCGCTCACCATCATGAAGGTCCTTAATGATCGTGAGCAGAGGGTCAGGGACTCCGAAAGCACGAAGAACAACCCAGAGCCCAGGCCTACTGATGGTATCATAGGCCTTGACCAGGTCAATAAAGCAGAGATGTAGGTCTTTTTGGAATTCCCTACACCTCTGCTGTAGCAGACGGACAGAAAATATGGCATCTGTGCAGGACCGCCCTTTCCTGAAACCGCATTGGGGCTCCGCAAGCCTCTCCTCAGCGTGCCTAGCAAGGCGATGTTGAATAATCCTTGCCAGGACCTTACCCGGCACACTGAGGAGTGAGATGCCCCTGTAGTTGTTACAGTCTGTGCGGTCCCCCTTCTTAAAGAGGGGGACCACCAGGGCATCCTTCCAGTCCTGCGGAACCCGTCCAGTGGTCCAGACTGTTGTTATGATGTCATATAGGGCAGTCTGTGCACAAACGCCACCCTCCCTCAGCATTTCGCTTGGGAGATCATCTCTGCCCGGTGCCTTCCCTGGTCTCAGACTCCGGATCGCCCTCAGTACTTCCTCAACAGCTGGAACCTCAGCCAGCCACTCACAGGGGGTGACCTCTTCCAATATTTGAGGCACCGCAGCCTCAGCAGGGTTATCCCCACTTTGTGCCATGATGTTTTCCTGGCTGAGAGAATTTCCCTCCCCCAGGACCTCACAGAAATGCTCAGCAAATCTGCAAACCTGTTCCTGTGGGTCGGAGATTGGATCACCGTTTTTTCCTCTAATGATGGTAATAGGTGTGGCGCTGCAGGTTACTTTTTTGATGGAGTTAAATAGTGATTTGTGATCACGGGCCACTGAGGCAGACTCCATCTCCTCAGCAACCCGCGACCACCACCCATCCTTACAACGCCTTACGGCTCTCCGAACTTCCGAGCGAAGGCTGCGGTAAACCTCCTCATTCTCTGACGTGGGATGCTGTAGGCGATGAGAGTGGGCCTGTCGCTTTTTCTCAATTAACCTGAACACCTCCTCTGTCAGCCAGGGTTTCTGGGGAGGTCTGGACCGCGTACCCAAAGCAGCCATTGCAGCTGCATGAGTCACAGTCCTAAACCTCGCCCATTTACCCTCGACATCAGGTGGAGTGGGGGACGATGCCAACCCCAGCTGCAAGCGATGATGAAATTCTCGCTTGCAACTTTCATCAGCTAACTGAGACCAGGCCACTTTTGGTTGGAATGGGATCCTGGGTGTACACCCACCACCGGAGTGGAAGAAAGGCAGGCGCATCTTACAGATGACTAGTCGATGGTCAGAGGACATACACTCACTCTCACACACACACATACACTCACACTCACACACAAACTCACTCTCACACTCAGACTCACACACACAGACTCACTCTAACACTCAGACTCACACACACAGACTCACTCTAACACTCAGACTCACACATACACTCGCTCTCACACTTTCAGACTCGCACACACTCGCGGCGTTGCTCCGTGTTCGGTGGGGGGGGGGGATGTCACGAGTGGGCGTGTTTACCTTCCCCCCACCCTCCCCGATATCTTCAAACAATCGCGGAGATTCTTATTCCCGTCGAAAAGCTACGAGGTTAGTCACGCAACTTCACAGCTCAGTTAAAACATTTAAATATTTATGTTTACTATTTTGTATCACTCTTATATATTAAAAGATGTTAGGGATTAAGTTATGTTTGATGATAGTAAATATACACTATGCACCACGATTTTTCCCTGGGTAAAAAGTGTTATTTTTATATTGCTTAAGCCTCCTAAGTATATAAGATGGCTATTATTCCCCATACATGTTGCTTTTGTGACCAGAACTTTATATAAAGGAAAGAATTACACAAATGCACAGGTTTTTCCTAGCAAAATAGCTCCATTTGTAAATATCACTGTCCGTGTCAAAAAAAATTAAGTTTGAGGGGAATTTTCTCCCATTTGTAACTTTTGAGATGTCAGCGTATAGAAAATAACACTTACTACCCAGAGACTAACACATGTGTAGTTTTTGGTAAAAAAAATATATATTT